ATTTGTTTTCAAAAAAATTAAACTGTCTGATAACATCCTATCAATTCACTAATTAAACATTGGGTTTACTTCTTTTTATGCATGGTGCAAGTAAATACATATCTAATATATTTCAATAAAAATAAAGCAAATCTCGTAATTTTTGTAGGTGCAATCCCCAAGATTTCTCATCTTTAACTGACCAACTGGCACCTTGTGTGTTTTCCTTTGGGATATAATCGAAAGAAAGTAATCGATAATGTACTCTTCACCATCCTGCTAAGTTTAATATACAAGAACTTACTTAGACAGTACTCAGTTCTGTCGCCTCGTCCGTAAAACAGAGATCCTTGGGCGATTTACTCTTTTCTTACGGTGCCAATGTCACCTCTAAATTTTCATAATCGCTGATGTTATCTGAATCATCAATCGACGTTTGAACCGTCTTACTCGAAGGACTTGATTCTGCACGCTGAAAGAGAGAGAGCCAAAAAAATCAGCTTAAGTGGATGCAAACAAAGACATAGACATAAAAATATCAGTTCATCTTTTCAAGAAAAAGATTAAGAATTCAGAGTGAGAGATCCTAAAATCAGAGAATCTTGAAATAAGTTAAATCCATCTTGTGCAAATGCAGTGTTCGAACTGTAACCGTCTCTATCTCTCGTCGCCAAAATTTGATCAAGTGACTTTAGCTGTGAAACCGCTGGGACTCAACAAGACTCGGGAGAAGAGGCGAACCATTCATGCGTCAAATTCTCTGGTGGGAAAATTAATTATCGTACCGACGAAGAACTCGTGTCATCTCTAGGTTCAGCGTTCATTGCAATCAATTTCTTGAACTTTAGACGCTCTTTTATAATAAGGATGTAGTGCCTTGGTACGTCTGCATCTTGGGCGATGGCAAGGAGATCTTGGCCATCGCAACCGTCCTTTTCTGCAAGATAAGATACGAACAAAGATCAATGGAGCGGTCAAGTTTGTGAATGTAAAGTTGCAGTAAAATGCGTTGTTAGGAAATTTCTTTTGCTTACCTTTCCTTTATTAAGTCTCATTCCATGCGACTGTAGCCAAGAAACAGCCTCTTCACTGATGAATTCGCTGCTATAATTCATTATTGTTTCCGACGCACGTGGTCTAGGTTCGACTTATGCGATCACAGGCGGCCCACGCTCACGTCTCGAGAAAAAGCCAACGATTAATTCGTTGTGTGATTCGGTGTTCAGTTATGAGAGGAACCGTTGAAAATTTGAACACGTTTTAAGAAATAGTGTGGGAAACGAAATATGGTCGAAAAAAGAAAATTATTTTTATATTATTTTTTTTCAAAAATTGCACCTCGTTGGGGCCAAATTGTTCAATCCTACTTGGCTCTTGGAAGGGCCAAACTGAGAAAAAGTTCCAAAGTAGAATTCATAGGGGCCAATTCAGATTTTGGAGGGGTCGAAATGATATCTGTCCCACCCGTTTGGCTTTTGGGGTCAATTTGGCTCTTTTCATTTTACAGTGTACCCCCCTCCCAGGGTAAGATGTAAGCGAGGAAAAGTCAGCGAAAACTAATCGTGTTATGACGTCACTCTTTTTTCAGACAACAGCGATCTACGAGGTGGTTTTCAGACAAATTTTGTGTGACTTTTGGGATAGAAACATTTTAAGAAGAACAACAGAAAACCATATATATCTGTTTTTCGAAGGTAACGATGTCTCCGTTTCGTTACCAACTAGCTGTGGAAAATCTTTAATATATTAAGCAGCACCAGTAATCAATCGGTTTTCTAGAAGAAACCGGTCTCAACTTCAGCCGCACAAACTCCATCACATCCCTCCCCTCCCTCAATCTCTAACCCTTCAACTAATTTCATCCTACGCACGAGGAACTTTTGTTCTCGAGACTCTCAGGACTTGCAGCTGAAACGGAAAAAGATATTGTGCTTTGTAATCATAACAAAAGAATTCTAATTAAAATTCCATTCTTCACTCTCATTTTAAATGTGTTATGCGAATGTCGGCGTCGTCATTGGAAAACAACGAACTACCTAGCGTTTTTCCTCTTTAACTCAAGTTGGATGCCACTATTTTGAACTTTCAACATTGAATATTTTGACGGGATTAAGACAACGGTAAGCTGAAACTTACTTGCGGGCAGGTTCTCGTAAAATCAAGTCGTGGGAGGAAACCAAATCACCAGCAGGCGTTAAGGACAGTGTTCCTTGAATAAGTTGTACTATAATTTTGGTTGATGGTAAGATATTTTGATATAAAACTGGGCAGTTTGATTTGTGATGAATTGCGATGTTTGGTGAACTTGAAACCTAAAGCACGAGTCTCTGAAACAGTTAAGTAATAATTTAAGATCTGAAACGTCTTGAGACATTTTAGGAATGAGAGGGAGGGCTCGAAGGCTTTCTGGCCGAAGCTCTTATAAACAATTTGAATTCCAACCGAATCAATCACTCTGTAGACATTTTTGACGAGTGCCGGACGTTCTACATGCGTGACTGTAGAGAAATATCCGGTCCTACTGTCACTGAAAATGTAAATATTTCAATTATCGTAAGATGTTTGAGTTAATTGATCGGAGCTCTGAAGTCCAATTTAACCGTTTCTGAATGAGAAGGAAAAGCCCTAGCGCATTTTAAAGTTCTTACAGCTTGAATTCCAACGGAATCGATCGCTCAGTCTGTAGGCAGCCCTGATCTGCTGACAAATGTGATTGTTCAAGGCGTGGAACAAAAGAATTTTCCAGTCTTACTGACAAGAATGTATATACTTCAATAGCCGTAAGAAGTTTGATCTATACAAACAAAACCGTGATATCATTGGAAGCTATATCAATATTCTGATAATTGTCCTCAGGTCCATATATTCAAAATACAGTCTGCTTTCTCTTTTCTTTGTTAGTAGAGGAAGTAGAGTTATTTACCAATTTGACAATTTATACACAGCAACCCTGTATTGAAATGGTATTTAGCAAACTAATTCACAGAAGTAGACAGTCATTGCTTGTATCGTCATATTAAGTAAGGTATCGAGAGTGTAAGAGTGCAAGCCTAAGCAAAGTAAATTATTTATCGGAATTATCAACTCAATAACCAATATCAGACAAGTGAGACTGAAGATTTCAGTCTTCTAAGTGTTGCATGCACATGGGGTAAGACACCCTATTTACTTTAACAATCTCGTGAGGAGAATATATTCTGGTCTAAGATTTTCTGCCCCAATGTGTAATGAAGCTATGCCATTAAAATTACAAACGCATAAATTCAAATGTAAAGAAAACAGAATTAGAAATAAAGGTGTATTTGATTAAAATAGTAATTGCACTACACCTTTCTCTGCACTTTTAAATACAATGAATTTTAATTGAGATATATTCCCATGACATTTTAAAAGCTGAAGCAAATACATCCAGGATTAATAATTGGAGAGGTATTGGTCCACTGAGAAGAGAGCCTAGTCAAGCTGGGAAATGTTTTTCAGACAAAATAAGCTCTGAACTGAAATAAGAACATTATACTGGCACCTAACTGCTTCTTTGTCGACAATTTTCCTTTTAATTAGCTTATTGTCACTTCATCCAGGCAATAAGAGTTTAAAACTATAGTCTTAAATTCTTTCAGTGGTATATCCAGCTCACAACCTCCGTCATTTAATTAAGTCCTTTTTCCTAACTGTCAAGGTAGCCTATTTCCAGTCATCTAAAAGAACAAAACGTGACAACATTTTAATTACATTCATTCTTTTTGCTACCAAACTTCAAAACACTGATACACCTTCATGAAAAGTGATTCAAGGTGAATGGCTATTTTTTCAGGAACAATCCCTCCTAAACATGGATAGGTAGACACTCAATTCAATGTGCTATGGAGCCAAAGCGACACAAAACTTTGGAAAGGAACAGTTATTAATTTTCCGACATTACAGTGTGCATGACGATACGAACGAAGTCCACGCTTATGATAATGTAAGATAACGAGACTTTGAAACGCATTTTGTAAATACATATTTGGGTACCCACCGACCAAAATGATAATTCAGTCTATTCAAAATAAAGCGTTGTTTTGTTTGTTTAACTTCAGCTGCGCTACCACAGCATCGTGCTTAATTTATAGCCATCATGCTTTCTGCAAACCCTTCGTTATTTCGAGTCTGATAGAATCGTTTGATGCTGAAATGATAGACCTGAGATTTGACCGATTGACATGAAGAAAAGGCTGACGCACCAGAACGAAGAACTTTCCATCAATGCGAAGAAGCTACTAGAATCCTGCAATTTCTTGTTGGTCCATGCGATGAAAATCATTTGCAAGTGTTGAAGAAGGTGATCATGATTTATTTTAAGGAGAATCAATTGTCAGTATCTCGCCGAGCATTTTGAAATTAAAAAACGCTAAGTATTTGCTTCGGTTGTTTGGAATTCTCGAGGACAACTTAATTGGCAGCATTTTGATCTGAAGGAAAGGAGTATTTACACATAATGTAAATAATTGTTGAAGTCGATTGTCAGTTATGCTTGTAGCCGTTCTATTTTGGGTTAACAATAGTAGTGAAATCACTTAAAATTATAGGCAAAGTTTCCATGAACAATGATCTTAGGATGTTTGTGCGCGATATATCTTATTTAAAGAAGGCCAAATTTCAATTTTATCCGACATTTTCAAAATTGCACAATTCTATATACCTAGGGCTTATATCGATGAACGGTCAAAAAATTAAGGTTCTAAAAAATATTAGAATCCTCTTGCTTATCTTTTGGTAGCTATTAAAGCTCAGCTTAGAGGCTTTTTAAAATTATAAAAATTTCATGTGTCAATCACAAATATTAAACATAATACGCTACAATCTTTCAGAGGAAACGTTCACTATTCGTATGGCTTTGTATTTTGATTATTTCATCTTCTTCACCACACGAGGTACGTCAAGAATCTTTCTAGAAATTATAGAGACTGAACTATTATCACATTTGAATGTTTATCAACTCTCCTTTTTCCCTCTCTATTGTCGGTCTAAAAAAACACACGACTTGACTTACTATTTTATTTGAATGTTTTGGTCATTATAACAACAGTCCTCACTGCTCATGAAACAGTCATCTGTATAATTCTTCCAAAAAGTTAGATCCGTTCATTGCCATTTGAATGATTGATCCGTAAATATATTGCTTTAAGAGAACTAACATTATTGAACGAGCAATATTTTGAAGAGAATAAGAAGAGATTACATTTATTTTGTCTCTGAAAGATCGCATAAAAATTACCTCAGAGTAAGTGTGTCTGCTGACTGTTCTCAGTCTTCTGTGCAACGCACAGGAAATTTCAATTCTGCAAAGCAATGGGGAAAGAGAGAGTTAACTAGGACAAATTTGCCGGATTAAATCACCATCATTAACACGTATAATGATTTATTTCACATATATGTTTAAGGGTGAAGCCTTCTGAAAAGCATAAAGAAGTGGTCTACCCAGTTGTGTGCAATGGGTGCGGTGTATTACGTACAGCATAATATCGAAACATGGACAGGAATCTTTGCTTTCGTGCACTACATCTTTCTATATTGTATAGAAACTTTGAAATTTAACAGCATGTTGATTGTTTTATGCAAAGTAAGGGCACGAAATAGACTCAGCAGATGCTGGAAATTTCTTATCATTTTTGAATATACACTTTTAAGAGTCTGGTTGCATGGCTGATTTAGCAATGGAAGCCATGTTTGCTTTGCGTAACCGCCACGTGGCGAAATGTTAGCGCCACAATTAAGCGACGCTAAATGTAGAAGAGTTCTTCACAAAGTTAAGAGCAAGTATTTACAATGTAGATCAATCCGACAATCATATTTGAAATGTGGTGTGTGTGTTTCACGATGTTTTTGTATGATGTAGAGGACTGCCTAAAGCCTCTTAGCCGTAATCACGGTGGTGCAAATGCTTCAATGAAGGAAGATTAACACCGTCACTCTCTTACGCCAGCATCGTCGAAGAAATTTAGAACATCACTTTCGAGAAGGAAGATGAGAACGACACGAGTTTAAGCTGATATTGAATAATTTACCTTCGTTAAATCCCACCATGGACTGGATGAATAGTTATAGTTGAAGTTATATTTTCAGTCGATATTTAAAGTGCAGCGGAATATGTTTTCTAGACAGATGATATCTTG